AGATCATACTCATTGTGTTTTATAACGGACGGTAGAATTAATTAGTTAAAATGTGCGATAATTAGATGGGGAGTCAAGCCTATGTTTACGTGTGTTTCTTTTACAGGCATCGCCTGATAAAAAATCTTTGAAATATGAATAAACTATATACTAACTGACTATAAATACACAAACATATATATGTTAGCCGACAATCGCTACGTGTTATTGTCATTATGGAAGAAGGTGAAAGCGACCCACATTCAGTCAGCACATGACAAATCTTCCACCGACCTCAAAATACTCTGCGTTATCGTCAGAGGGTTATATTGGGCGGGTATTTTGATTTTGATTTTTTTTTGGGGGGGGGGGGGTCGTCCATGTTTCTTAAAGACAATGTCAGAATAGTTTATATGAGCGATTCCGTATTCAGACAATGAACCAAATGTGGTTAAGCGTTTCATTATAAATGTTCGTACAAGCGAAATTCCGTAATTCGTATCTTCATAAGGCGAGGGCTCACTGTACTTACTCACTTATTTATTTATTATTAACTGCAAATGGGTTTTTACCCGGTGGCAGTGGTGCTACAATAAGACACAACAAAATAACACACCACATTTAAAATAAAACAACTCCTAAGATTACAAGTATTTAAAAACAACAGATAACCTAAAGTAGATAACTTAACAATTAATACCAACTAGACATAAGACAGTAACAGCACATACTTCTGTAGCTCACGTGATGGCCCTTGCTTTAGAGCTGCATCACATTTCTCGCGATTTTAATTGCGAAACCTTTGAAGTACTCAATCATCAAGGAATATAACAATTATGATTGTGCTATAAGGACAATGATTTTCATGAAGGGACTTTACTTTTTAAAAGTCACTAAAATAGGCAGACAATCCCCTTTTGTCACAAAAAAGATGAAACAATCAAAGAACAGTTACGCCATTTTTCTGAATCTTGTTAAAAGAAACTCGTCCTGGCTGTGTGGTTTTAAGAAAATTTCATCACTCTATTGTTGGCCTTGACCACTTTTTCCAACAGAAATAAATATTTGGACAAAAAACTGTGTTAGTGGCACTGCTTATTATGTCTATTATAAAATAGCTTCACTATAATTCGTTAACACTCGAATTGAAGGTTATTTTAGCCTAGCAAACAGAATATAGGATATTAATGAGAAAGTCAAAGCATATGAAATCATACTAAAATTTTACAAAATTTATTTTGATTGCCTTCTTCTGAAAACTGTACTTTCCCTCTTAGATGTTTGATCACTTCAAATCTGAGAACGACATTACTAGAAGTCATAAAATTATTTGCCTTGTTATTAACCATTCTAGCAAGTGCGTTTCTTGAGCGGTCATTCTCGGCTTTGAAGAAGGTTGTACATGCAGCACGCAGAAACAGGAGTGACTCACTACATTATCATTAATAATAATAATAATTGAGAAGAGAACTGAAGACATCAAAAACAGTCCGAACTTCTGTGACTCCATGGCAGATATTTTTAATGAAAAATAGTAGCATGGAGCTGAAGTACAGTCAGTTAGCGACTACTTCATAGGATTTGAGATTTTCACGGCGGTGAGTCTGAAGATGGCTAGCGACAACTTTCTTAGTTTACATTTCCTTCCTCTTCGTTTCCTTTACTTTATTCATTTTAGCTCAAATTTGCATAACTGTCTTGTACGATTTATATACCCAATTGTCAACATTTTCAAGACCGCCTCGTTATTTAGCTAATAGTTTCGAAAACTTCACGATCCGTCACTGGGGAGAAAATATCACTCTCCAAAAGTAAAGGAAATAATCTGATTAATAAGTGACCAAAGAATCATAAATAAATAAATAAATGTAACGATAACATTTTAGTAGATATCAAAGAAGTTTAATGTATCCGAGCACTGGAAGATGGCGAATTGCTTGAACATGTAGAGCAAACATCTTATTACTGTAATGAAAATAAACAGTCGTATATTTGCGATGACTGTATATTTAAAACTTGAATTAAGGTGCCATAAAGCACGACGGTTTCTAGTTTTTTTAAGTAGAATTATCTGCTTTCAGGTCATCAAACCTCGCGATACCAGTCTTGTTGCCAGGTGCGTTTCTGGGTTCGGCTTAATAATGCTTTGGAGATTACACACATGCATATTAAAAACATTACATAAGAGCATATGCTTTATGCTGCAGTGCGATGTTCATTACTCGCCTTCACATTTCTCCATGCATGGCCTTGAATCACTGAATATTCTCTTTGTATGGTGGTCTGTCACAGATAAATAATTTGCACATGCCTAATTTAGTCGCACATTTTGATCTTCTGTACACGTTTCCAAATCTTCAATTTGTTTCATAAAGTAAGTTCCTGGTATAAAAAACATTATTCGCAGTAAACGAGCAGTAACTAGGGTTTAAATTTAACACTTAAAAGGACAAATCTCATAGAAATGATATTTAATCATTCGACTCATACCTGAAAGAAAACACCACATCACAATTACAGATTTTAATGATATTTACGAAACGTTTTCCTGTTTATTCTTAGAACCAAACCAAACTCATAAAGCGACTATGTGGGCGACCTGCCGCGTTACTACACATTAAAGCAGGTGGTACATATACTTACCACTCTCCTGTAAGGGGATAAGTAATATTTTAAGTATCTGAAAAGAATGAAAAGAGACCGTCTCCACAATTGGCAAGCTGTTTCCGACAGAAGGGGCAATCAGATTTAAGAACACCAAAGCGACGATGGAAAGACGAAGAAGAAACAGGCCTTAAATTTTCAGTATGTAACGAATAACGGTTATAAAGTAAGAGACGCTTTTCAATTTCTGTACTTGATCTGTACCAGTTTCAGAGCCAGTGACATTTTTTCTTCTAGATACGTTCTCCATTACTGTTATTACAAATGGTCGAAACTTTCCAGTAAATTTTTGAGCCGAGACTGTACTCGGCTAAGCGGGAATCGAACTCCGTAATTCGATTAAAACACGTGAGACATTTCTCACTCGTGTACTCCCCTGATATTTAAAGATAAACTGATACAAAACATTATTTAGAATGGAGCATAGTTCATGTATGCAAATATTTTACGCTGTTCTTAAGTACTCAGAGGCACGTCTGTCTAGCTTAATCACACCGCTGGAACTAGTGAATTTTTCTGATAATAGATATTTGACAATTTGGGTATAACTTTACAAACACCCCCCCCCCACACACACACACACACATAAATATATGCATTTACAGCATGTCCCAAAAATATGTATACACAGCAGCAACTTTGATGGCCGCTTGTCGGTCAGTTACTTACCGCTGCCAATTTTGCCACGGCGTTAACGGCGATCAATTTGAACATCAACATTAGATTCGGGAATTTACTGAGTGCCAGTGCTGACGAGTGTAATGACTTAGTTTACTACAATGTCTTTATTTCATTCATTGAATGTGTGGGGCGTTGTGTACAAAACAAGTATTACGCTACGCACTATAGGCTATGTCTCGTTTAAATAACATTCTCCCTTTTAGACGGGATGTAGGTGATGTTTGAGACGATCAATGAAAGAAGCGTATCTTGTCCTACCTCATCATTTTAAGCCAACTAACAAAGTGTGACACATTCACCATTAGAAATTATACGGGTCTACATCATAATTGGCGCAATGCACTAGGAATCTAATCGAACTGTGAGCTTCAGGCTTCGAGGGGCACTTCATCTCTGACGTCCTGTATCTTTATCTCGTGTGCTTTTAGTTCATATTATGATGAGACACGATATTACTGGATACCATTTTTCTTAAAATGACATTTTTCAATTAATAAGTGTAAGTCATCGTCCAGTACACAAAACACTCGTATTTATGATACCAAGATTTTGCGCACTGTTTTTACGGTCTTTCTCTTTAGAAGCAAAAGAGTACATGCATCTTTGTATGCTAGGTACTTATTGAAGTGTTACATTTATTATATTAGGCTTTCGTTTTAAACCGCATCCAAAATGCAACATACAAAACATGTAGTGGCCTTTAATTACAAACAAGTATTATTTAATTAAGACTTGATTGTGTACACGGTCAGTACTTTATTATGTTATAATACACAACATGATACCTCAGTTCAAGATTAAATATCAGGTAAGACTTTACCTTAGAAAAATTGTGCGATTAAATTACTATGTAACACAACAGCGGTATTAAGATTATTACTTAAAACCTAGGCACTGCTTTACGATTGCTGGGGATTTAATAACATTGCACTTCAGCATGAGCGTACTTCTTAGACCAGTGGTATTCAACCTGGGGTACGCGAAGACTTCTTATGGGGTACGTGAAATTTAAAAAAAAAAAGTTGTCAGTGGAACCACGGTTCCGGAGAATTTGACGTAAATACGTCATACATGCTTTACAATTGAGTAAAGTTTGATTAAGACATTGCTTATTTAACTTAAATTAGTTACGCTTAAGATGGGTCTGTGGTAGATGAATGTAATGTAAAGTAATGTAATGTAAGGTAATGTAAGGTAAGGTAATGTAATGTAATGTGAGGTAAGGTAAGTATGTAGGTAACCATTGTTGTTTATTTGTTGATAAACAGATGATGTTTCCTAGGTAACATAACAATGAAGTTACACTTTTTCGTTTCCCTTTTTCGTTACACATTTTTGCCGAATGACACTGACCCTAAAATATAGACGTATTTACGTCAAAAAATTATGTTAAACACTGAATAATCAATAATGTATTGATTTAATTTATTTTAGATGTAGATTATATACTATGTATAACTTGAATTATACACCAACTCTGGGGGTACAAAGTTGAAGATAAATTATATCTGGGGGTACGCGAACAAGAAAAGGTTGAATACCACTGCCTTAGACCACTTGGCCCACACCTGGGATACAACATTAAGATATTTCAAAGAACATAAATGATAATATGGATGTGAAAATCCGAAGCATAATAAAATATAATAAAGACGATTCAGCGTCATATTACTTACACATGTCATCATCCATGTTGTCTGCTGATGTGGTAGTTTTTAGTTGCGTTACTGAAACTTCTTGCAGTGGACAGAGGTAACACTGTGTTCTTTAACACTCCCAAGAATTCACTTAAACTAACTGGCTGAGGATTTTAGGCTGACAGCAAGATTATCATCTCACAAGAGCACAGGTCATAAGGTCAATCAAAAGAACAGCCCATGACTCGTATTTCACACGAAACCCGTGTCGTTTGCCATTCGTCTCATGCCACTCGCCGGGAGAGGCATGGGTCGCCAACTGGAGCAGGACGAAGCGTCGCGACGGTTCTACGCATCTCCCAATCATCACGCATGCGCGTAACAGTAGGCATGAGACACAAAAGAGTTACGTATGCAAATTAGATTTCTTTTGTACACTTCGGAATCGTGTCGACTGCTTACCAATTATCGTAATTTTAATGTCCACTTACACCTTTCCGTTTTAAATCCACTCAACACGCACCACACAATTGATTAATCCAATATGGTGTAGGCCAGGGGTTCTCAACCTTTTCTAAACATGGGGCCACATAAAACCTTTCTTATTTACTTGCTGGCCCACAAGGATATAAGAGAAGACAAACTATTGAAACGCCATGACAATTTAGAAAGAGTGACCCTGCAGTAGGAATACTGTTAACAGGTTCAGATAAAACTTAATATTGTCTTCAACATCATCAGTTGTCGGTGAGATATTTGACACTGCTTTTGTTTCAGTAATCTTTGAGTATAAGGCTTTAATTTTTTGTTGCGATTCGCATGTATCCCGCCACGTGTTCGTTAGTAAGACGCGTCCTGTTTGTTGATCTGACGTTCCTTAATAGGGTGAACAGCGATAATTACTGTCATACAAAGGAGATATTAACGAAGTGTATTTTATGATAACAAGTAAGAGTTGTACAAGGGTTACACAGTTACACAATACTACATAAGTGTACGCTGGACGCAAAAATAAATATCAAGGTGCTACAAGTTATTAAGCTGTAGAGTAGGCTATTCTGGCTGTTAAATAGTGTAAATTTCTTCTCTACTGGAATCGTTAATATTATAGACGTTTGGATGGTTCAATGAATAATCTCTGTGGTGCAAAGTTTCTAGAACATTTGATAGTTCCTAAGGCGGATAGGAATATTCAGTGCATAAAAAACTCGGGGTGTGGCTGTGTCGGGGACACGGCCGTGGGTTTTACGTGAATACGTCTGCATTAGCGGGTAATATTTTCTTTGGGATATGGGAATGAAATGAAAGTAACGAAATGGATACATGGCTTTTATTTAGCATAACAAATATACAGACATGCTTACTGCCTCCATCATCATTCATATGATGGAGGCAGTACTTTAATGGCTTAAATCCACAGATCTAGACGTGATCTTTCGTTTGGCACCAAAATCAGCATGCTAGCACATCGGAGTCGCGAGATATACTGCCCGGAAATTTTCGCCCACGCCCAAAATGGCCGCCAGTCGCCGCAGGCACCCCACCCGCGCATCGCACATGCGCGGCGCCAACTCAAGGTCATGCTCGCATCGTAGTCGTATGCCCGATCGAACGAGACCACATTTATTTCAATCGTGTTATTAGTCACGAAGTTATAGTGTCGGAATGGATCACCCTGCAAACGTTGCATCGCCGTTTCCGTCCTGGTAACCCATATGTCGGTCTGATTTTAAAGACGTATTCACGTCAAAATCCAAAGGTTTCTTAGAGTGATCACAAAAAACCTAATATTTTCCTGTATTCAGATACTGCAAAATCCAATTAACATCTTCATGATTTGTTTCTCTTTAGGCCATTTAAATATTATCCTCTCATGCAAGGTCACGTCTTCCTGGTTTTAAATGAGACCGGGCCTTGCACAGAAAACCATTTCAGTTGAAAGAACCTCCCACCCTGAAGCGGTTTACTGCGTATTCATACAAATAAGGCAGGCAATAAACTGCTTGTCCAAGGTGACACGTCAGCTGAATTGCAACGACGTGTTGACGGCGAAATGCGTTTGGTGAAAGGAAAAAAGCGTCCTTCGGAAAGAAAAGGAAAGACAGGAAGGGAGAAAGATAGAATACGCACAAAGCAAAGACTGGTTAAGAAATTAAACAAATAAGCAAAGAATAGTTTAGGGCCTATAGATTTTCCGAATAAAAATTAATTATATTCTCACTGCGGTACAGTTGTCGACTGTCGTCTTCTAGGGTGTGATGCAGTGCAGTTGTCAGTGGTTCAATCCCGTAGATGGCAGCAAAACGATCTTCCGAAACAGTGGTAACCACTTAATATTACATGTCATCACAAACCAGAAGAACACAATAGACATTTCACCGCTGTGAGAACCTCCACACTCAGATATTTAATACATATACACCACACAGAATTTACTTCAACCCTGGAGATAAAGGTGATATGATCCTCTGAAACGTTCGCAGCCACCTTTAAGAACACGAGGTGTCATAATCCAGAAGATCACACTAGACAAAAAATGAAGACAGTTAACTAAGCGCAGCTTGGATTTAGTTTTGATCTAGTCTTTGATGACGCTATGAAGGAAATGAGCCTGTACAAAGACATGGATTGCTCAGTTCAATTGTCAATCTGAACAGAAAGGACTGCTTTACTTTTAAGGATGCTGCCGAGAGCTATCAAGCCATTGGCATGCAGAAGTTCACTGACATTGTCTAGGGTTTGTTTCTTAAGCACTCTTTGCACAAAGTCCATAGAAGGTGCCCGTAATTGTGGAGGTCGTGTCTCTTTGCGCGCATGTTTCCTCTCGAAAAGTACTGAACGGTTTTTAATTAAATTTGGTGTAAGAATCTGTATTATAATTTTAACGCTGTAAAGTACAACGTCTATTTTATATGAAGCTCAAACAAAATATCATGTTTCTTTTCCTCAAAAACAGCTAATCGTACAGAAAATGGTACATGGCCAAACGAGAACTGATATAAGTTAGATCTTACCAACTAATATTTTTATGTGAACATATTTCTGTATGGTGCATATGTAACAAAATGAAAGAAAAATGACAGGCTTACATTATTATATTTCTTGTTAGGTCTACCAAAAATAGACTTAAAATTTGTTGTACTTTCCAAATTTGTAGTCCGCATTTCTGACACAAGAGTTCAGCTAAAGATGACAACAATACTGCTTCATATAAACAAACAATGGAGACTGTTGAGGAATTCGATATTGAAAATGATGACTTTGGAAGATATTTAGTTTCCATGGAGCACAGAAGCTCATTCTATACCTAAACTCATTTTTTTCATCTCGTTTCTGAAGTGTCTCCTTTAGAGATTTTGCTACTTTGTAAAAATTTTCCTTTGAAACTGCAACATTTTGTATTTTTTCCTCTTTTGTATCATAAACTACTTTTGGTTCCTTGTCTGTTGAGTTATCAGGAACCTTCCTCTTTATTTTGGGTTCGGTTTTTTCCTCAAATTTAGCATGGTCAGGTTTTGTAGGATCAAATCTGAGCATTGGAACCCTTCTGAAAATCAAAAGCATGTATTACAATTACTGATGCTTGTTTTTCATAAATATACATTCAGAAAGTTGTTTTAACATAACTTTCAAGTAGATTATCTTATTAAATATAACTTAAAATTATGTTTTAATACACAAACTTTGATTTGTCTTTCTTGTCCTCTTTAATTGGTATCGGATGACCAAGGACATCTTTTAATATTTCAAACTGTCTCCTTCTCTCATCTTCAACTCTAGCAGTTTGGACACTGTCCGATGCTTCAGCACAAACTTCTTCATCACTCTCATAAAACCTTTCATCCAATGCAAATCTGTTGTCACTTGCAAATCGAGACTGTAGTTCTAGAAGCTGAAAACGATATTATTATAAAACACTGTGTGAAATAAAAATTGAAAGTAAATCAGTATATATGTCTTCCAAAAATACATAAAACAGCAATTAACTTCAATATTATTAACGCCCAATTTAAATTATATGCCATGATATTAGGCAACATTTGAAGACAATACTACAAGGAAGATTAGAAACTTTAGGGATGCAGTGATATGAACATGCATTAGGCATGGACAACAATAGGATTTCTTTTGAGAACATTTAGAATTAAGATTACAAATAAATTACCATTGGGGAAACCAAAGACAAAATTAAATATCTGCAGCAGCCTTAGAGGTCTCAAACCTTTTCAGAAATCATTGGCCTATGTCAGGGGTGAAAGCATGCATTATATACTGGAGATATGAAGCACATTTGTAATTATTTCTTCAGTTCCTTAATAGGATGGTCATTTTAACTTCAGGGTCCACAAATCACCCTTTACCCATCTTTGGCATACCAAAAGTACTGTGCTAAACAACTTTCTCCAGATGCTTAGCAAAGGCAACTAACACAGCAAAATGAGGGTCTTTGTTACTTGGGATTTATATGTGCATTACAGATCATGCATAAATGCATTATACCAAAATTTCATAATATGGATCAAAGGTCTGGCAGATTTTAACATAGTTCTGTAACTAGTATCACATGATAAATTACTGTATTTTAAGTTATTACCTTCTGTCCTTTAACACCTTCAAACTGAGGCTTAACTTTTAAGTTTCCTTCTTCTTCAACATCTGAAGAATCTTCAAAAAGAATCGTCTTTTTGTATGACTTTCCCAGCAATTCAGCATTAGAAGATTGAGAGATATTATGAGAAATTGTTTGTTTAACTGTATATGGAAAACATGTTTACTCAACTGGGGTATGCTTGTCCACTATCATTCTACTCAAATAATCAGTAATATTACTTAACTCATTAACTAGATTCTTAAAAATGTTGTCAAACATTTAAATAACTACTTTTGAACAAAATGAGTAAATTCCATGACAGAAAATCACTTCTGTATTTCACACTTTTGATGGATCAACCATCTTACCTTCCTTCTTCCCCATTCTTAGTGAATCAAATTACCTGAAACATAAAAAGTGAAAATTACAAAAAACTAGAAAAGTAATTACACCATCACTAATCAACATTATTAATCTTCAATTTTGATACCCATATCATTTATTCATTAGGTCAAGTTAATTCTATATACTTTAACATCAGCAATACTTTTGACCTTATTCCACGTCTTACTTAATGGTTACACAATTTTATTTCATAGTTCCTTAACCAAGATATACTGAATGCCCATTATTCTGGAGCCCTATTGTCACCTTATAGTGTACTACAAGGATGTTTTGAGGGCATAGCTTTCTGTTATTAATAATTTATGTAATGCATTAATTACCTTATTTCTGTTGAAAACATTAAAATTTTCCCTGCGAAAGTCTCGTGCTTGTTCTCGACTTCAATCTAATATAAACTCTGTAAGTGGTTGGTGCACTGCCAATTTGGTCTTTGAGTACAAACTTTGTGAATCTTATCCTGGTCATGCAAATGTACTAATCTAACAAATCAGAAGCCAGCATAAATCCAGGTTCAAACTCCAGATCTGAAATGGATCAGATGTTGATTCCAAATCACATGCTCCTTCAGGCACTGGTAACAATGCCAAAGTAAAAGCCCTCTTAACCAAAATTAACCATATTTTTACATCTCCATACTGGTGTATTGTATGTACTGACTACAGCCTAGTAACTCTGATCATAAAACAAACTGTCTGCTTTATTCACAAGAAATATTTAATCTACAATATGTTAAGACATCCTAAGGGGCTATTTTACCATTGTGTTTACTAAAACAGAATCATAAATGAAACATGTCACTGAAGACCGTCAACATTTGTAAACTGTTAATTATATTAGAATAAAGTTAAGATTTTCTGTAATGCATAGTTAACCCTCAAAATAAAATTTGGCATAATCAATGATGCAAATAAAATTAAAATTACTACAGACTACAATAAAAACTGACACAATCATAAAATCAACCACATTCTTTTTCAATCCATTCTTATACATACAGCTAACATTAACCATTATTTTCCTTCCTTTGTTCTTTTACTTACATACAAACACATTATGACATTCCTTAGATCCATAAGTTAGACACATGACAATAGGATGTGGAATAAGTAATAAAAAATTGACAGTGGACAGATGACATAACAATTTACACATTGTTGGTATGGATCTTACACATCTTCCTAACGCTTTTTTGCCGAATGACCCTTCCGTATAGACGTATTTACATCAAAATACAATATTTACATACAAGTGCAGTTCAAAATATTATAAACTTTTCACATAGAATAAATAAAGATTTCATATAAAGTAATAAACTGTTTCAAATAAATCCACATATACACAGCATGATATTATTGGGGATCATAAGTGTGGGTTCCATCATAATAGATCTACAACTAATCAAATGTTCAACCTTCATCAGATACCAGATAAAAATTGAAAAGTGGGAGTACAATGGGACAGTACATCAACTATTTATAGGCTTCAAGAAAGTCTTTGACTCAGTTAAAATCGAAGCATTTTGTTTGACTTTGGTACACCTAAGTTAATCAGGCTAATTAAAACATATCTCAATGAAACCTCTAGCAAAATCAAATTCTGGGAATGCTTGCTATCATTATGTCCATTATCTTTAAATCAAGAAAGATGAAGTGGGCAGGACATGTGGCACACATGGGGGAGGGTAGGGGTGTTTATAAGGTAATGGCTGGGAGGTGTGAAGGGAGGAGACTGCTGGGAAGATGATGGACCTTGGTGAGACAGGAATCAATGGAGCAAACTGGATGCAGCTAGCTGAGGATAGAGTCCAGTGGCAGGTTTCTGTGAACACTGTGCTGTACCTTTCGGTCCCATACAGAAAGTGGGCTATTCTTTACCAAGCCGAGTATACAATCGACTTTTCCGAGAATATCCTGCACCATAAAGTGGGCGAGTGGGGAAATAAATTACTATTGTGAGGTAAAGTCATCAACAGAATAAAATGAGTGTGAATTTAAGTATCTTTTTAATACTATTTTAAACTGTGACCCTTTATTCATAAAACTAGAGAGACTAGATGCTGAACGTTTAGATGCCAGTATAGCGTGCATTTTTTTGTTTCCTTTGTTGTCTTTCTTACTTCCTCTCCGTTTTCTATTGACCGAAGTTGGTTCCACAGAATGTATAATGTTGGCAAACTTAAAAACTAAGTATGTTAAAACTAAAAAGACACTAAAAGCACGTTATTAATTACAACTCACAAAACTTCTTCATACAAACCTACTTACAAATTTGTTACACATCACACATTTATTGCAGGGATGTATACAACTGTAGCAATTCCACAGAAACATGTATTGACTACATCACAGAATATAAATATCCAGCAAACATTGATGGACTATATTAAAGACTGTTAACTGCTCCACTATAACCCAGGACCTTCGTACTTCTCGACACAGGGTTACAAACTGTGGTTGCAAGTAACCTCGAAAATTGTAAGTTCCTTAATAGGCATAGATTGGGGGATATTAAAATTAAACAAAGAGGGGGGGGGGCTGTAATAATTTTGCGCACATTAGGGACCATTGGCAAGTTCCTATGAACCCTCCGCTTCCATAAAATGTAACTTCTTGAAAAACTTTTCTATGAAATGTTTCTCATGAATGTAAGTAAAGCTGTCCCACTATACGCCATGCATTTTACTGATTTACATCTTACGAAGTAAATGGAAAACTATATATGTATTGTGTGAGTTCACAGATCCAGCACTAGGATTTAAATGAGTACATACTAGAAATTATGACATTAATTGACAAATTTGTACATTCTCCCAAAACATTTTGCCAACAGATTAAGCTACCAACATTCTTATAAAATCTATGGGGGAGAGGAGTTGAAGGAGACTTGATTTTGTTGGCCCAGGACAGGGTCCGGTGGAGGTTTTTGGTTAATTCAGTGATGAACCTTCGGGTTCGGTAAGCCATCTAGTTAGTTATGTATAAAAGATTAAAAGAAATTGATACCAATGGATTATGTTTATTCTGTTTGCATAAAAAGTTTATTTTCCACTTTTTTTTTACACAAACACAAAACTATGACTTTATTTGATTTTATGCACCTTTCACATTCTGGATTAATGAAATTCTATCAATCTGGCATATAACAAAAAACAAGAGAAACACTTTCAACATAAACAGTTGATGTTCAAACGTGATACAGATCTGAAACTAAAATCAAAACATCACAGTCTAAAAATGAAAAGAACTTGAATACACATACAATTTCAAATTGATTTTCACAATAAGGACATGAGGGACAGAAATGCACTTGACAGTTTCTGAACATTGGTGTTATGTGGTTAGCATTTCTGCTTCATCTTTGGTTCAATTCTTAGACCAGAGTCTGGCTATCCTGAGGTCTATTCATGGGTCCTCTCAGTCTCTCCAGGCAAATGCACCTTTCACATTCTGAATTGATGGAATTCTATCAATCTTTCATATAACAAAAAACAAGAGAAACACTTTCTTCAACATACACAGTTGATGTTCAAACGTGATACAGATCTGAAAATAAAATCAAAACATCACAGTCTCAGTCTAAAAAGCTTGAAAAGAACTTGAATACACATACAATTTCAAATTGATTTTCACAATAAGGACATGAGGGACAGAAATGCACTTGACAGTTTCTGAACATTGGTGTTATGTGGTTAGCATTTCTGCTTCATCTTTGGTTCAATTCTTAGACCAGAGTCTGGCTATCCTGACATCTATTCATGGGTCCTCTCAGTCTCTCCAGGCAAATGCTAAGATAATGTCTTAAAATAGCGGTGACTACTTCCTCCAAATCTTCATAAATCGGTTTGTCACAGTCATCCTCCCCTTCAATGCCATACATGTCAGTATAGTGACTGGCTATGGACTGGACGACTGGAGTTCGATTCCATTTCAATTTTGGGGGGAATGACCCTTCCGTATAGACGTATTTACGTCAAAAACAAGAGAAACGCTTTCTTCAACACACACAGTTGATGTTCAAACGCGATACAGATCTGAAACTAAAATCAAAACATCGCAGTCTAAAAAGCTTGAAAAGAACTTGAATACACATACAATTTCAAATTGATTTTCACAATAAGGACATGAGGGACAGAAATGCACTTGACAGTTTCTGAACATTGGTGTTATGTGGTTAGCATTTCTGCTTCATCTTTGGTTCAATTCTTAGACCAGAGTCTGGCTATCCTGACATCTATTCATGGGTCCTCTCAGTCTCTCCAGGCAAATGCTAAGATAATGTCTTAAAATAGCGGTGACTACTTCCTCCAAATCTTCATAAATCGGTTTGTCACAGTCATCCTCCCCTTCAATGAAATACAACATATGAAGCGACTTCAAACTTATGCAGTTACCTATAACTTTAATTATAAAGAATGATGACTGTAGCAGTCCTGTGTCTGAAGTGTTCACGAAGTACTTCTGACTAGTCTTGCACATCTGACATTCTAAGCAATGGTTTTCCTTAGTCCCCTGCAGACAAATGGTACCTGGAAATAAGCTATGAATGGCTTCCATCCATTCCTTTCCAGTTCACCTTACACAGTCCTCTCAGTTCATTAAATGATAACCACAAAAGCGTATAAACTGTAGCTAAACCGTTGCAACTGAAACAACTGAACTATCTTTAATATAATGAGAACCTTCATATTACATCTCATGCAAATTTCCATTATGTGCCAATTATAGAAATAATGTCTTCACATGCACCAAGTTTCCATAATTTGTTTAATTACTGCCAATAATAAACACCCGAGAACAGCAGTAGGAATTAAACTAGGATTCAGCATTGGACACTTCACAATATCTCCACCAGTCTCGAGGGAGGACTCCACCAATCTCGAGGGAGGAAAAAAACTTGGGAACTTATGTGAAGAAAATCAATGACCAGAATAAAATCTTAGTTTTCACATGTCTTTCTTACAGGAATAATTTACATACTTTAAATCTAGATCTGGAATTTATGTTACTTACCTTTCTATACAAAATACATAGGAAAGTCCTTTATAATCGCTTTCAAAACAGAACTTTCAAAGTACTTCCTCTGTTTATTTGCAAGATTTGTCAATGTTATCTTTCTCCTGAAAAGAGAAAACAAGATGATTACTTTCATATTTTGTAGAATAAAAATATCCTGTACTAAGTGATCTGCCACCAATATTCCAGTCTCAGGACATAACACAATGGGGAATTCCAAGGTTTAATGGTAACAGGAAAGCAGATCGCTATTTAGGTTAATTTTTTATGGCATATTTTCTAAATATTCTTCTGAAGGGTAGCTTCACTGAGTCACATAACCAGGGCCGTGGAGTCAGAGTCAATTAATCAAATGGCATAGGTCTGATATCTTGACTACTTAACTGCTCTAAACAGTGTGACTATCACGAACTCAAGATCCTTCAGACTGAGAGGAGCATTTTGAAAATAAACTAAATAATTCTGTTTTTGGTCACTTACATCAAAAGCCAAATGTTCTGTAGAAAACAGACCATAGGTAATATAAGACCCACAGTCTTAAAGTTCATAATATCATTGATAACACTAAATAACACAATGAGAGCTAAACCATTCCACTTGTTTGCTCATGACTGTAATTTTAAGCAATATTTTATAAAAGCATAACTCCTGAATACATCCTTATACCCAAATGATTTAAAGACTGTAGAGGAATTCCAATGGAATATTTAGTACCAATTACAAAATCACCTTCATGTTACCATCATTACTAGGATATAACTAATTTTTTCTCAGCACATACAATACATAGATTTCTAACAGATATATTCTTCCTAATAAAATATTCTTACTGTTTCTATCACTGTAACTAGCAAATTCACTATTACTGTCATCATCATCATCATTAGCATAGTTATTTCCTCTCAGATCAGTCACTGTGTTTTTTTTAAGTGTTCTGTCTGACGACAGGTCCATATATTATGAACAGGATCCTTCCATCCTCTTCAGGTTGTCAGGGACCTGTTCATACATATGTACATTCTTGGCAGATGATCCAGAAGTGGTTTGCCATTGCCTTCTTCTGTGTGTGTGTGTGAGTGGAGTAATTTTTGGGATGCCAAGGAGAAACCGGGGAAGCCCCCGGAGGAAAACTCCGTGATGCCTAGACCACGACCTTTCCCAACACAAGTTATAAATCTGAGCACCACCGGGAATTGAACCCGGGACCCCAGAATTACAGGGCTAGTGTTCTGACCACCATCTAGGATTGTGTTTCTGTGTGTGTGTGTGAGTGGAGTAATTTTTGGGATGCCAAGGAGAAACCGGGGAAGCCCCCGGAGGAAAACTCCGTGATGCCTAGACCACGACCTTTCCCAACACAAGTTATAAATCTGAGCACCACCGGGAATTGAACCCGGGACCCCAGAATTACAGGGCTAGTGTTCTGACCACCATCTAGGATTGTGTTTCTTAGTAAGATTTAAATGTTCTCACAGCAGCAAATATGAAGATGGCTGTCATCTGGATTGCTACACCACGTAGTCTTTTAGAAGTTCACTAATGTTTCAGAGGTGCTTGCTGCCTCCATCATAAGGATGACGGTCTCTTATTAACTTCCCTCATATGCAATATCATTTAATGGTCCATTTTGACTTGGTTAAACTTTAATTTTTGCATTTCCACAATTTCACACCACCTACATGAAAATATCAGACCACTGTGCCTATAAGAGCTCTGTTAATAAAATTATTGTAAATCATTTCTGATAAATATTAGGACCTTGATCCTATATTTGTCAATACTTTGTTAATAAAGTGTCAAGTGCCATTTTCATTCACTTTCCTAATTAACCTTGATAATCAAAGTGGATAATAACTATACCAAAGATGTATAGATTTTTCAGGCTACTCATTTCTTTTAATTTCATAACAGCAGTTCTATACTCACCCATCGAGGTACACACGAGCACGAGATGCAGCCAAATGTGCATTGTATGTGGGAGCTGGATAGGACACACTGCGTGTGCATCGTGAGAACATATGACATAAATAATATGTAAGCTGTTCAAGATCATCAGTTGTCATAACATTATCATCATTCCACAACAAATGATACTTGGTTGGTCGACTCACACCCTGCAAAAACACATTAACAGTAAAAGTGAGATAGACTGTAAATGATAATGTATTCCAATACCAGTGAGAATATTATAAAAACATTAATTTTAATAATTTAATTTAATTATCATTAGTCCATCTTTGTGTGTCTGCAATTTTCCTTTAAGCTTGGCATTAACCTTTTAAATACTTGTGGCCAGTATACTGGTCACCTTATATGAAGTTCATAGATGTATATGGCCACTTAACTGGCCGAAAGCTTAGGCATCCCTTACTAAAACTTGGTCTAATTGAATTGTACATTGGAAATTTAAAAGAATACAGTAAAGTTAATGAGTTTGACACCAAAAATCCCAATCTAGCAATTTCTTACTGTTTATATACGTATGTAACATAGGGAGGAGTATAAAAATATACAGATGCAACAAATAAAACACAATTTTATGTGATATAAAAAAAGACTTAGTTACTTTATATCTTCATATACAGGCAAATAAAATCATTCTTAATAACTGAGTTTTTATGTGGAGGTTCTGGCTTAAAATATAATAATACAATATATTTTATGGTATTCTGCACTTTGACACCTTTAAATGGTAATTTAAACCAGTGGTAAGATTATGAACAAAGTATTTAAATTCTATGCAATAAAGGTTAATAACTTCTTAAACAGTGTAAGTCCCTAATGATCACTAAAGAATAGCCAAAACCAGTTGGCTGCTGTTTAAAATATGTTCAATTTGATGTTACTGAAGTAATTAATTATTATACTGAAATATACTGGTAATGGAAACTAATACTAAAATATATTACCTGTATGCTGGCATGGCTCACTAAGAAAAAGTCCAACTCAACAGGGTGTGTGATCTCAGAGTCAACCACAGTACCTGGGGGTACGTTACGGTTCTTGCCATCTTCATCCTCCCTACGTGTGGGAAAAAATCTAGTATGATGTCGTTTCTGAACAACAAGAAATGTCACCATTGGTTTGTATCCTTGCTGCACTGAAGAACAGGCACGTCTAACAGCAGTCAGCTCACTATTCAAAACCTGTAAAATAATAATGTGAAACAGATAAGCTTTTTCAGTAAAAATTTCTTCTTGGCCAAACAACATAGACAGCAGTATTATAAAGAAAAAAGTTGTTTAACCAAACTCCATATTAAGAATAAAACAGGATAGCTCAGTAAAATGTCTGGATTCAAGCTCAATGACTGGGATGCAATCCACGGTGGCAATCAAAAACAGACAACACAAATCATACAACAATACTTATTTCATTTAATTCTACATTGTATGTTTGGTTACAATATAAAGAGAAAAGATTTAAACCTTCAAGTAAAGTAGCAAATGCAAAATTCTCTCCCATGTTCTCTCAACCTCATATCAATCCCTCAATAGGAACACCTATACAACAGACAATTTACCATATTTACCCAATTATAAGACAAAGTTATCTTACTTTATTCTCATTAAAAAATAGAGGTATATTATAACCATAAAGAAAAATGTGTAAAAGACTGATTCAGTGATTTCTGGGAAAACAGACATAATATAAAAACTCACAAACAGAATACTTCATCAATAAGGATATTTCAGAAACAGAAATCATTACATTCTG